GCAGAAGACATCAAAGTAAAGCCAGCCAAACAAACAGGTTTAAAGATAGTTTCTATCCTTGGGCTGTGAGACTTTTAAATACAACCACAATCACTCCATGCACACCCTAGTTTTTTTCTTTTTCTTTCTTTTTTTGTTTCTGTTATAATTTTGCACCAGTGAGGTTAAAACCAATTTCATTGCATTTAAGTACAATGACAATAAAGATTATACTTATACTTATACTTATTCCATTGTGTGCACACCTAGAGAAAAAACAATTTTAGACCACATAATTAAAAAAAGATAAATTTCTAATTAATAAAAAGTGTTTCATACAGTCAGTTTGGTCTAGTGACCAAGACATTAGGCCAAAACCCAAGTCACTATGAGTTCTAGTCCCTCCTTAGACAATCTGAAATCACTCTTTTTCAGCCCATGATGTCAGGCTCAGGCAACAACAGTGGTGAGTTGCAGGCGGTACGCCCTAGTATGGGCATACCGGTGCCTTCCCAGAGCACTGGGTACCGTTCTGGTATGGTGCTCCGGAAGGCCCACCCACTTGCCCGAGCTCCTTACCTGTATTTGAGCTCTTTGGCGCTTCCGCGCACGTGCATGGAGGAGGTTAGAATGCATGCACACACTCTGCGCATTCATGTGGTGGATGCCGGGCCCCGTTGCAACTGTACCAGTTGTAACGGGGTCTGGAACCCACCACTGGGCAACAAATACTTGGTTGATTTAAAAAGTGGGCCTTGCACTTGTGGGAAACACTAGGAAGAAAAAACCGTCTCTCATAAAGTTTTCTGTAGTTACATTATTGAACTGATAATTAGCCACATTTACAACTTGGGTAAATAATCTAGAAAAGAAGACACGGGATAGAAACTATTTTCATCTTTTCCAAACTTGACATACTAGCTTTAAGTATAGATTTTATACACTAGTATCAGGGAAGAATAAAATTGGTGAATGAGGCTGAAAATATTCTTCTTATTTCCACTGTAATTCTTTTGAGTTGGATTAATATAACTTAATAGTTTTAATTTAGAAGCATCAAAGTATTTTAGATTTTGTACAGGTAAAGGTGCCCTTCGCACATATATGCTAGTTGTTCCCTACTTTAGGAGGCGGTGCTCATCTCCATTTCAAAGCCGAAGAGCCAGCACTGTCTGAAGATGTCTGCGTGGTTATGACTAAATGCCAAAGGCACATGGAACGCTGTTACCTTCCCACCAAAG